AACAACGTTATTGCGGCATTAATCAATGACAGTATTGATATTCTCTTCACTCTTATGCTATCGATAAAACGAAAAATGATTTTGACTAGGATCACTAAAAATCTTTAAATCTATCAATTAAGCAGATGCGAACAATTCTAAGCTTTAGTCAATTCTTAATGTTATCGGATTATTTTAAATTAAAGTTATTTAAGAATTTTAAATTAAATTTAGTTAAAATTAAAAAAATTTTAAGATATGAAAAATGTAATTATCAATATCTTAAGTATAGAAAATAATTCAAACAGTTGTACTAATTTATAAATAAAAATTTATAAACTTCAATTCATGTTATCTTTATAAATTTTTGAATTCATATTATAATTATATGATTATATAAATTTTAATATATTATAATATATATTATAGTAAAATTTTTAATTCATATTAAAAAATAATTAATTAAATTAATTAAACTAAATTAAATTTAATAAGCATTAATTTAATTTATATATCGCTTTAAAGAATTAACAATAACTTTCATTTTTTATTATATATCGTTTATTAATTTTATGTATTAATTTTGATAATAAAAATTTTAAAAATATAAAATAAAAAAAAATAAAAAGACATTGAAAAAAGATAAAGAATTTAACACAAATGTTAAAATTTTTTAAATTTTTAATTTATTTATATTTTATAAATATTTAATTTAAAAAATTTAAACTTAAACTGTATTATTAAAAGTGATAAGATTTAAATATTCTTTCATAAATAATTGATTTTTTTTTAGATTAAATTAAATTTACATATTTGAAAAATCAATTTATATATATATAATGTTGAATACTGTTGAGTATTGTTGTTGAATGAATACTGTTTAGTACAATTATTTAATTCGCACTTGCTTATTTTTTAATAATTTACCATATAGGCGCCAAACGTGTGACAATTTTGAACAATTGAATATAGAATTGTATCAAAAACATGTCAAAACGGTACTTTATAAATATAATTTGTATTTGTACGTATCATACATCTTACTATATCTTGCTATTTATCATGATTTAAGCATTTATTGTATCAAGTTTTTTTTTTTTTTAATATGAGTACAGTCTATTAATTCACTACTTTACTTAGTCCTCAAAAAAAAAAATTTTATTAACAGTATAATTAAAATTTAAAATAATTGAAAAAATATTTTTTTAATTTATTTTTTTTTTAATTAATTTAAAGTTGTGAATTAAGTTATTAAAAAACATTTTCAGAATTTAAATGCATTAAAAAAATATTGGATGCGAAAATATTTAATCGGTCAATCAATAAAGAAAAAATAAAAAAATAAAATTTTTAAACTTTAACGAGGACTAAATATACATAGATATATATTTTTAATAAATGAGCAATCGAAATGTTTGGCACCAAATTTATTGATATAAAAAATTCTTTTATGTAAGATAAATATTTAGATATTTTAAATATAAAATAAAGGCACATTAAAAAATGATTTTCTGAAATAAAATGTGTATTCTTTAGAAAACTGTTTACTATGAACATAATCTAAAAGATAAATAATTGAAAAATATAGGCGCTATATTATAGTAAGCCAATATAATTGGTCCATTTAATGTTATATTTTTCATTGTTACTAGCATCAAAAGATAGATGCAATTTGAAATAATTTGTATCAGGATTGTTCAACTATAATGCTTTATTTTATTTTATATGATTTAATTTTTTCAAAAAATCATCTCTATTTTTTTCAAATTGATTCAAACTCTTAATTTATATTACAAACAGACTTTTATTTAATATAGGCACTTAGAATGTGAATATTTAGGATTTCACTCGTTTTCCTTAATAAATAATCCATTTAAAAATACATACCATTATTTTCTTGTTTATATTTTTTTATCATAAACTATTTATTCTTTCCATTTTTGTATATTTTAAAGATAATTTTTTAGAATTTTATCTTTATTGTTAATATATATGTATATATTATATATATATAACAATGATCAAAAGTACAAAGTCGAGCAATCCTGATCTAATTTTTCACAAAAGTAACAATATTTGCACTATAATATATATTGTCTATATTAAAACAAATTTAAATTCTTAAAAAAATGTTCATGATATATTATTCGTGATAGTATAATAGAAGCATATAAATTCTTATTTCATTATTATATTATTTAGATTAAAATCGACTATGAGATAATATTTATTGTGTTATCAGACAAATTGAAATTTGTTAACAATTGAATACACAAATATCGTAAAAATCAAATAATTATATAATTATCAAAAAATATGACTATGCATGTTACACAATATATTGAATATGTTGATTCATCAAACAAACTTAAAAAAAAAAAATAAAAATATATATATGTATATAAATTATGACTAAAAAGCAACTAATTATTTTTTTGAATATTGGAAAATATTATTATAAATTTTAAAGCACTATAAATCACGGCATATATAATTTATATTTATATAGAATATGTAAATTAATAAACAAATAAAAAAATAATAGAATAATATTATTGACATACTTATTAATGTTCTTTTTCATTTTGAATAAACAAATTTTAAATTTGTGTGTTAATTATTTTCAATAAGTATATGAAATAACTCAATTACAATTACAATTAGTAGAGCAACTTTTTAAATTAATAACGAATGTAACCAAAGTTACTTACATACACATTGCGTTTGATATTATATTATCAATATTATTTTGAAATTATATACTGTGCGAATATCGTAAACGAGGCATTTGCGATTCTTACAGAATATGAATAACAATATTGTTCGATACTAAACTTTATATATATATAATATGTATAATATACGTTTTATCAATTTTTTCTAGATTTCTTATTTATAATTAAAAAGTTTACATAGAAAAAATTATTTAAGAACAAAAAATATCTGTGGCTGTCATTTTGTATTAAAATTTCTTACAAAACATAATATATCACAACTTCGTTACTTTGTTTTTGTGAAAAAAAAAAGAAGATAAAATAATTATGGAAAACTCAAATATTTATTCTCAAATATCTAATTAATAATATTTTTCATTTAGCTGCACTCGAAATGTTTTGAATTTTAATGAATATATATAAACTCAATTCATAAGAAACAGTCGATAAATATTATATAAAATAGCTTAATAATGGCTAGATTTTTTTATGACAACGAAAAACTTATATAACATTATTATCTTTTCTTACTTTTCAATTTTTCAATTTTATATTTTTATAATTCTTCTAATTTATTAATTTTTTATCATATAAAAATATATATTACAATGTATTATAATATCACTCGCTTTTTAAATATTTCTTTTATTAACATTATATGGCAATATATTATGTTATGTATATATATACATGTGCTTTTACGTTATATATAATATTTTTTTGGAATATTTAAGTATTTATTAATATATTAAGAATTTATTGTAATAGAAAATTCTTCTTCTGAAATTAAATTTTTTAATAACTCAAATAATTTGTTTCTAAGAATATATATATATATATTATTAGAATACATTATACAGTATACATCATAAATATTTTTTTATAAAAATTATATTGATATATGCTTTGAAACTCATGTAGTTTCAAATATTAATAAAAAGAAAAATGTTATAACATTAATGAATTTTATAGAAAATAAATATGAATTTAAATAAATCTCGCAAAATAATAGAATTAAATTTATATAAGAAAGAAAAATAAAAATGTATGTAATGATTTATTTTAAATAATTTTTAAAAGACAAAAAAAAATGAATTGCAAATAAAACGAGTGCAGCTAACTGAACAAACATAGATTCTATAAAATAAATTTCAATCGTTCAACGAATAATGCATCTTACATTTTATCTTTGCTGGTCAAGCGATTGTGTTATTATGCATTTCTGCAAATTCTCTGGATACTTTGTAAACATAATATAAACGCTCGTAGAGATCTGATGTACAACCAAAATCTCGTATATCATTTAACCAATACGAAGATGTACGTCTACTAGTATCTATATATGTAATTAAATATCCCTTGTTAGGAGATTCTTGTGAGACTACCAATTTCGTATGATCCTCGAAAAAATTCACTTGTAAAAGTGGTACTGATAATTCCATCATAATAGTTTTATCAGTTCTTAACCATCTTCTCATTCGTGGCACACAAATATTCTTCGACTGCTTTGGTGTAACTCGGTATTTCTTAATTTCACCACCTTAAAATACATTATTAACTATTAATTATTGATTAATAACTGTAATATATATATTTATATATATATATTACATAAATAATATATAATTATATATATAAATTTTAAAAAAAGCAAAATCTGAATTCAGCGAATCAAAGTTATTTTTTAAAAATATTGATTTTTTTGTTTCATTTATTTCTCGTTTATCGGTCACATCTATTTGCATATTTATAAAATATATAATAATTTTTTTGTTTATAATTAAAAACAGTTATTATAGTAATTTATTATAGCAATTTATGGATAATTATCCAGTTTTCTCAATTTTGGCTATTTTACTATAGTTCTTTTTTTACCAGTTTAAATTAACTTTAAATAAATCACTTTATTTTATTACTATAACAAGAAATCAATCGATAAAATCAAAAAGTAATGTGCATTTTATCATTAAAAAAATTGCTATTACATAGAATTTTGTTTACGAAATTTACTTAATTTTAATTTAAAATTAATTTAATTTAAATTTAATTTAAATTTTTTTAATTTTATGTACACTTATAATAGTGTGTGCAGTCGTAAGCATACGACTGCCAATTATCTTTTATTAATGTTATATAAATAAATCATTATGAAATATTATTAATATTTAATTATAAAAAATTTTTGCATTTTACGAATCTTTCGAATATATTTTATAAAATAATTAAAAAAAATTATTCCAAATATAATATATAATGTTTTCTTTTTTGTATATCATTTTAAAATATATATATATATATATATCTTATTTAAAATATATAATATAAAAGATTATAAATTCAAATAAACATAGACTCATTTACAAAGAAAAATTTCTAATAATAATAGATAATGATTTATGTGTATATATAGAGGCAAGATTATATTATATTTAAGATTTATGATGATAATGATGAAATTAACATGAACACTATCAATAAATTATATAAAATATTATTTACCTTCAGTCATAAATTTATCCATATACTGTGTGAAACGTTGCAATAATACAAGTTTTTTCTGCAGAGCAGCTGGAATATCTTCTTCTTTTTGATATCTTGTTACTTCATCATCGGTTGTTACGTACTCCACTCTTCTTTGCAAATAAAAATGTGTTATTGAGTAAGTTAAACGCATAACAAATATTTAATTCTTTACATTATAATTCTCTAAATATTACTATTAGCTTATATCTTTCTTATTTTAAATTTTTTTATCAATCAATATCAAACTATCACTTTAAATAATCTGAATACAAAAAGATAAATATTATAATTATTGTTTTTACTAATTGTTAATTATCTTATTGAATTTTAAATATCAAAACAATATTAAATTTTGAAAATATATCAAAACAAATTTTGACTTTAAAGAATTAAAACATAACATCAAGAAAAAAAAAATACCGACCTTCTGTCATGTGTGTAACTGATTTTCGTATGATCATTGAAGAGGATGCCTACAGATTTGTCAGATAGCTGAAAACCTAGGCCGTATTTATTCGAATAATCAATCCATTTAGTAATAAACAGAGGTACGATATCCCTTACAGGTGGATGATTACGTATCTTATTTTTACACTTTATTTCTTTGATGCAATTTTCTAGCGCTTGATGTATTTGTATACTCTGAGCTATGGATCCAATAATTTTTTTCTGATCTGGATAAAGAACGCTGCTTAATCTTTGTCTGAATTTCGGAACTTTCCGAAGCTTTCGAGCTAACCAACTGATCACTTTCGACCCCTTTCGTAAACTTTTCTGAGAAAGATTTGTTTGATGATATTGTTGTTGCTGCTCCTGCTGTTGTTGAGATTGTTGGATAGTATGAACCTATAATTGCAATAAAAAATATTGATTAAATTGACTAAATGAAATAGTATTTTTTATCAATGAAAATTGTTACATTAATGTTACACAATAAAAATTAAAAATTATTGAATTTTTAATTTATAAATTCTTAAATTTATGTATATATATGATACGAATGTAAATTCATTTACAATTTATTTATATTTACATTTTAAATAAAGTTTATACAATCATATCTATTAAAAATATTAAATATTTCAATATAAATAATCTAATTTATATATATATA